ATACTTCATTTTGTCATATACATTTTGATAATGTAACATGGTCCTTGACAAAGCACCTGTTATGTCACATTTAACATTAAATAGGAATATTTAATCGAATCCCCAGAGCATATTACTTCTGCAAACGATGCAATAATAATATTTCATATCCAGCACTATGCCTAATGGATATGACACTCTAGGTCTATGCCCATTGGATATGACATTCATGAAAGTAATTTGTATCTTCTTTAATGAATTTTTATTGTTTGTTTTACCATTCTTGGAAAACATTTCAAAATCGATTAATTGTCCAATTTTATAAAGTTTCAATCTGGCTGCCCTTACAATTTTCTCACCAGAATTAAACCATTGACTCTTTAGTAGAAAGAGAACAAGGTATACATTCTCAAATCTCTAATCTCCACATTCTGTCTAAAAGAATGACATGCATTGTAATGTTGCGGCCAGTTTCCCATTTCTACAAAATCTGTTTTCTGATGACATTTTTAATTTTGGCAGACATTCTAACTAAGATTCATAGAGATCACAGACTTCTCCAAGATCTTCTCAGCTAGACTTATCATTTTATAGGTCGGGGGGGGGGGGGGGGGCTTTAGCCTTTATTGATGAAAAATAAAAGCATTGAAATGCAGAAGTCCATCTTTTTTATACTGGCCAAAACAGATTTCATATATTCTACTTTCTAACTTAAGGACAAAAGTGGGGTGTGCCATTATATGAGCATATACGTTTAGGAAAGAATATGGTTTTCAAAAGGCCTCAAAATCTTGTCTAACATATTGAAATGTTTTCCTAACATGTGGATGATAACATGGGCTCTAAAACATTTTGATGTGCACCACTTTACATAAGAATCAAAACATAAAAATTCATTAACTATTTAACTATTCAATCTGAAGACCAACCATATATTTTTCTAGTCATGCTAACCCTTTTGCAAGGGCTTCTCAAATAAAATGATTACCAATGGTAATTAAATAAAAATAGATAGCCATATTAAATAACAAACAAGGCATTAACATGCAAAATGTTACCACCTGTCATTTGTTACAGATACCAACAATCATTAACCAACCTCCGAATGCTGAACACCGATATGACAGTATATACTGAATCACATCCTTACCTGCCATGTTTGCATCTCCCCGAGTGCAACCTCCTGATCCAAATATCGTCAAGTAAGAATATTATCCAGAGATAATGATTATTTCAAATCTGCTTCTAGTCAGTTTGAAATGTGGAAAATAAAAGACTGACTTGACCTGTTAAAACTTGAATATAGAGCCGGCAAAATATAAACAATATGAAATGTCAACATGACATTATATCTCTGTCGATTTATAGTGAGCCTCCTACTGGTGCAGTACACAGTTCATTGGCCTAACTGGGATGTGAATATACGTTAGTAGGGTCATTGAAATTCACCCATGCATGGGCGAAGCCAGGGAGATGCGATTGGTGCACCCACCCCCAATAACCAATAAAAAAGCATTAGATAGATGAAGAAAAGAGCTTCAAAATGCTTTTGATTTGAAGCTTCTAGCTCAATTTTGAAGGAAGTGATTTTTGGAAAATGTCATGCACAAACCTTCACATCACATCCAGAAGCTAACTTGTGCACTATCGCACTCAGTAAAATATTGCACATGTAAAGTAATGGTATATCTAGGAGCAAAATAATTTCATCAGAATATTAAAACATAGTAATTGGCCATTTAATTCAATTCTTTATAAAAGTTTTTTCTGAAAAGTTATGAACTCACAATGACACAACAGTGTATCTTTTAGAATCAACATTTTATAAAGAAGTGTATTTTTTAATTAAATCTTAAATAAAATAAGATTAGTGTCAGAATGAAGTGGAATTAAAACAAGGCACAGGACCTGAACGAGATCACACCATCAAATAGGCAGACACTATGAACCAGGAAAACTGTTCTCCTATTATGTTTACAAATTTCAAGAACAAGAAAACAAGATGGCCGCCCAAAAGTTAATCAGCTCTAGTACTTGATATCCTCTATCATTTGTGTAAATTTGAAGGAAATCCGATGAGCGGTTTTCCTGAAATGGCGATGACAAGATTTTTCAAAAAACCTTCAAAATGGCCACCAGAAAACAAGATGGCCGCCCAAAAGTTAATCAGCTCTAGTACTTGATATCCTCTATCATGTGTGTAAATTTGAAGGAAATCCGATGAGCGGATTTTCTGAAATGGCGATGACAAGATTTTTCGAAAAATCTTCAAAATGGCTGCCAGAAAACAAGATGGCCGCCCAAAAGTTAATCAGCTCTAGTACTTGATATCCTCTATCATTTGTGTAAATTTGAAGGAAATCCAATGAGCGGTTTTCCTGAAATGCTGATGACAAGATTTTTCTAAAAACCTTCAAAATGGCCGCCAGAAAACAAGATGGCCACCCAAAAGTTAATCAGCTCTAGTACTTCATATGCTCTATCATCTCTGCGAATTTGGAGAAAATCTGATGAGCAGTTTTCCTTAAACGGCGATGACAAAAAGCGGGACGATCACGACCACGATCACGACCACGACCAGTATGACGACTATCCCACCGATGGTGTGATAAAAAGATAAATGTAGTGGGAACAATTTACTCTTTTCTGATCAATATTTAATCGTGCTGAGTTTTGGCTCATATGGACAAACTAGTGACAAAAACAAAATGTCAACTTAATTGACATTATAAGATAATGTTGCAAAATTAGCAAGACAAAAGGCCACATATAATTGCAGAAAAGTGATGGAATCTCTCACGATGAAAAAAATGATAATTAAGTCAATTGCATGTGTGCTACATAATTCAGTCCAATTGACTTAATTATCATTGTATACATTTGCTTCAGATAATGAATGGATCTTAAAGATATACATATCTTTGTGGTGACAATATGGTTATATGCTTGAGAGATCCTGGCTACAGGCCTGTTTCTGACGTAATTTCAGTTGAGATCAACTTATTTCAAAAGGGGTGCTACTTATTTAGATTATTCTAGTTAATGAAAAAACAGCATGAAATTCTGCGCCAGGGGCTGATAGAAGACTTGTTGGATAATTTCAGTAGTTGTCCTCATCTTTATGTCATATCGTGATTAAATTGCTCCCCCTTCCAATGCTCCACCACTGAGCTATATGACCTCTCCACATCAACACTGCATAAATTCTATTTAGCGTGTGTTGATATGCAGTTTGCTGGCTTGTTTTCGTTTTTTTAATGAATGCATTAAGCATGAAATAAAATGATGAAATTTCTGAGTAGAACTGTCCAGCTTCATCTTCTGATCTCAAGGCAGCGTTTGACACCCCTCGTTTTAGGCGAGTCCAAGTATTACATGTAGTTACATATGGATTATTGAAAAGGAGCGACAAAGCAAATCCAAATTTCAATCCAATGACAAAGTTGATTCTGGTCGATCTGCAAAACGTCAGAGAGAAATATCAAAAGATGAGTGCCAAATTGAAACTTCAAAATGGAAAAAGTCAAGCAACAATTGACCATTTCCAATTCCAATACTTTATCGTAAAGGCTAGAGTACAGTTGGGGACATAAATAAATGACAGGTGGATTTGCTGAAGTGAGGATTTCCCATGTTAAAAATAAGAGAATTTACAAGAGGCCATACATCAGTGGATGAGATTATACAAAATGTAAAATATACAAATTTTAAGGGATATATATCTAGACAATATTGGAAATTATGGGCTTTCAGACCACCATAATAAGGAAATGGTGATCGAAAATCGACCTGTCATTTATTTTTGTCCCCAACTGTACTGACAATTGTCGGTACGGGAGACTTCGCTATGTGGACACGCTAGATGACCGACAAATAATTGTCAGCACTTTAGCCCCTCCTAGTAGAAAACGCTAGAGAACCAAATGTCGGCACTGAAACCACTCCTAATAGGATCTAATAGAGAACTGACCGAAAGTCTGTGGTCTGCTAAATACTGTAAAACATGCTACATTCGCAAGCATGGTGATTTCACCTTTATTTGCCTGAAAATAAGATCGCGAATTTAAAACTGTGTATTTTCCTGAGTAATGTGGATGAATTAATGGAACAAATGAAGAATAAAATCTACTGGTATACATTATTTCTAACTGTGTTTTGTTTATTTTATTAGTTATATGCAATTATAAAACAAACGTGAAGTCGTATTTGAATACATTTGTTTTGTTTCAATACTAAACAATAAAACATGTACAATATAAAGCTAGTTAAAAAGAGCGTTTGTTGTTTAACCCAAACAAACTTTTTTATAACAAAAATTGATGCACCTTCCTTCAAACAAAGGGCTTCAAACTTGAGCTAGAAGCTTCAAATAAAAAGCATTTGAAATCACTTTTCTTTTTCGGATCTATTGTTATTGGTTATGGGGGGTTCAGTCGCATCTCTCTGGCTACGATTATGGATGATAAAACCAGTCATCAAAGTAAATGTAAAACACGAGCAGTCTCACGACCCGACCCTACATATCACCAATCAACAGGCAACAATAACTCATGACAAGAAAGTTTGTAAGTTTATATCTATAATTAACCTCTTATAGGTTGCTTATGGCAATCGTGACTGGTTAATTAGCAGGAAAATAACCCTGACATACAACCAAATAGAAAAATAATCTCAAACAATGTTGCACTCAATATTTTCCGAAAACAGTTTTATTTCTTACAGTTCAGTGCAGTTTTATTAGAGACAATTCGTTTCGTAAACAGAATGGATTTAATATTAGTATCTGTGTATTGTGGTTGTAAATTGTAAAAACACTTACTCTATCGAGCTGACTTTATGGCTTTTGAGCTGTGTTCAGTTTGAACGGGATAATGTTCAGTAACCAAAACTGAAAAAGTTGAACTTGACAAATAAATTGAAAGTTCAAGAGGCTGTCCTTAGTAAGTCAAATAAGACTAGGTTAGACTAGTTACTAAGTTATATCTATCATATAAAGAAAAATGAAAACACATAGCATATACCTGCACAATTGTCAAAAAGGCTGAATCAGTTTATACGGCATAAACGTCTAAGTTAGCCAACTTGGTCTACATCTTCAGTACCTGGTCTGGGTTACAGTGGTTTACCTCAAGAAGTACAGTCCGTCAATGAACCTAGATATTTCAAAGGTCAATGCCAAGACAAATAATTGCAAAAATGGGAACTGTATTGCGTCCATATATAATCTCATTACATTTACTTGTTGAAAATACATTAAGGTGTCTTGATTTGGAACCTGGCTCTTTTTTTGAAAAATCACGCACCTGTCATTGGGTATGGGGTAGATAGTCGGCCATATTGGTTTGTTTTGTCTTTTCCCAGATTTTCAGCATAAAGTCGAATAACAGGATAATCCAGGATAAACGACATGAAATACTGCAATTACATATCTCTGTTTATGATTCCTAATAGTTATAATGCAGTGACAATTTGTAAACCTGAGGAATATAATCATATTCGGCCGAAATAAAAAATTTGACAACGGAAAATCAAAAAAAATAAATAAAATTTTTAAATTTCAGGCCATAGGTAGATCTAAGACATTGCAGATTATTTTGCTATTAGAATAGAAACTTACGAATGCTTCGAAATCTAGGATCTACACATTGTTGTGATTCGTCAATGGATTCTGGGTGTGACACTTCAGTGTACCGCATGAAATAAACAGCATAATCCCAAGTTGATTTTCATTAGGCTACCCATCATGGCAGCCAATGACATTGATGCTATAGCATCAAGTTCAGATATTGTTTTCAGTGACTCTCAAAGTAGCACTTCAAGTTTGCAGCCTGCTCAGGGATCTGACTCTTTATATACCGAGACTGCTCAAGGTTCACTAGGTTTGTATATACAGTTAAATTTACAATGAAGTATCTGGAGAACCTTAAATTTTAAGGCTCTTTAGCCAAAATGCTAAAGAACCTTAAAATTTAGGCTATTTAGCTGTGAACATAGTAATTTGGCTAGAGGGCCTTGGTGTTTATAATCAGTGTTTATATTGTTTTTATTATCCCATCGAACGAAGTTCGGAGGGATATAGGGAACGCGTCCGTCCGTCCGGGCAATAACTCAAATACCGTTGGCCCCGATTTTGTTCATATTTTGTACACATATACCCTATGGGGGTAGAAGTTCTGCTCGAAAGCCGATTTTCAAAATGGCCGCTTTTACAGTAAAATTGTAATAGCAATATGTTTTAAATGTAAAAAAATTATATAGGACATTAATAAAGCTAGAAATGTAGATATTAAAGAAGCACATGGCAGCCATCTTGAAAAATGGCGGCCTTTACTCGTTATTTTACGATTTTTGCTGTAACTCGAAAAGTAGTGCAGTGATTTTGTTCATATTTGGTTTGTGAATACTATAAGCATGGCACACTGTCTAATGACACTTTTGGTAGAAGGTGGCCATTTTGAAAAATGGCTGCCATTTTTGCTATATATTTTGTTTGTAAATATGCCAGCCATGGCTGTTCAATGGGATTTGCTACGCTTTGGCGTTGCTGTTGTCTAGTTTGATTTGTGTATATTTTTGTCTTCCCTATATGTATAACCTTACTGAATCAAAAAATGAAGATTAATTGAAGTGATTGAAGTTATTCATTTTATTTAATCTTAAAAATGTTTTAGGGTCATTTAGGATGAGAATAAAAGTATTAGACATTTAGGGCTTATACAACATATATTTTTATTTGTCTCTTGTGCTTGTAGATGCTCAATACCAAGCCGCGGATTCAAATAGTCCAAAACAGGCATTTGTTCCATGCAAGGTTTGCGGAGATAAGGCAAGCGGCTATCACTATGGAGTGACTTCCTGTGAAGGATGTAAGGTATGGTGATATCATGTTGCCTGTTTATGCCAAGACTCATTTTTACACATTTAAATATGTAAATCTTTAAGGACATAATATCAGTAATTTATTGATTTTAGAATTTGACAACTCACTTTTGAAGTCTGAATTCCTTGATTTCACTGTTCTTGCTGTCTCCCTTGAAGCCTGCGTGCCCCCTCCCACCCCCACTCCATATTTGGAGGTGAATCATTCTTGTAACATACCCCTTTTTATTTTCAGGGATTTTTCCGACGAAGCATCCAGAAGCAGATTGAGTATCGGTGCCTACGAGATGGAAAATGTTTGGTGATACGATTGAATCGCAATAGGTGTCAGTATTGTCGATTCAAAAAATGTTTAGCCGTTGGAATGTCACGTGACTGTAAGTAAAGACATGTTAACTCTATATTCAGAATAGTATGCTACTGAAAACTATTTCTATTATCAGTAATGCAGATATTTAGGCCTAAACACTAACCAATCTGAAACAACTTTAGATCAGTGAGATTTTACTCAGTCTTGCTTGATATTGGATATACATGTATACGGAGGCTAAAAAACAATGTTCAGGTATAAAACAAATATCTTCAATTCAATTTATTTATTTCATAATTCTTATATAATATGCACTATAAAAACAAGCCACTAGATACCCTAGTGGGTATAAGTTGCGGTTTAACAGAAATTTTTAAAATAGACATTTTACTATTTTACATTTTACATTTTTACAATGTTATCTGACTGTCATTTGTACATATTTTTCTATGTATATCATGAATATTGCACCATGTGTGTTTATATGTTCCAGCAGTTAGATATGGTAGGGTACCTAAAAGATCACAGAGTATAGATGACAGTGTGACAACCTCAGAGGCTACAGTAGCACCAGCCATGACGGAAAGTAGACAGCTGGCCATATATGATACCATTCTGACCATCTCTCAAGCCCACCATGCAAATTGTGAAATTACAGAGGAAAAAATCAAAGTTCTACAATTGAAACCAGTCACATTGGTAGGTTTGCTGTTTTGCTGGTGCATTGTTCTCTAAAACTTTTATATGCCCAATTCAGCATTATCAATTTGACACAACTTACATCTTTTGTTTAATTTCAATATGAATTGTAGAACAATTAGTTTAGAAGTTAGTAGGAATTTTACCTTAAGACCAAAAATTCCATAATTTTCTTATCCCCAAAACATTGACAAGAATACCTCGTTGTACATAGAGCCATGGTTTTGTCTTAAGTTGATGTGTGACATTGCCTGTGTTAGAGATCACCAATAAGTCATTGATTAATATATGACATTGCATTGTTGTAGGTTGTAAAACGTGACATAGTTGATACAGTGACAAGTGGTCTAGATATGCTGGAGTGGCGACGCATATCCATGTGGCAGGGGCTCGCTCATTTGGTCACTCCCACAGTACAGCAGGTTGTAGAGTTCGCTAAGCGAATCCCAGGTGAGAAAAGATGTTCTTTTGAGCAAAAAAAGATGAATATTGAGGAACAGCTATTTAAAAATTTTCCCTTATTAAAGTGTCAGTAATCAAAAACACATTTTGGGTGTCCATCTTTTTCTATTAACAGAAACACTTTGTCATGGTAACGCTGTGATAATAAAATGTTGGGGATTAGTGTTCATCATTTTCAATTTTACCAGGGAACAGCTTTAATTAATATTGTTTCTTTGAATTGCAGATTTTGCTAGTTTGTCCCAAGAAGATCAGTTGATATTGATCAAATCAAGTTTCTTTGAAATCTGGCTGGCCCGCTTGGCAAGACTTGTGAACCCTGAAAAAAATACCGTCACATTTGGTGATGGATGTGTGCTCCCAAAAGAACAACTACAAATTGTTTATACAGTAAGTTAAGTCCCTTTATAAGACAAGAGATTAAATTCTAACAGAATCCATTTAATTAGGGGTTTGATTGAATGAAAAGCTGGTAAAAATATTAATATTATATATGGTTCTGCAAATAAAAAAACATCAAAGTACATAAAGCACAAGAAAATAACAGACCAACATATGTTCGATCTATTTCTACTGATAGGTCTGAATTTTTTTGCACACTTTCATTATGTAACTTGGTATTAAGTCCAAATATGGATAGAAACACAAAATGGTTTAAACAATATGATAAAGCCATTATGTACCCCCACTCTACATCCCACATGGATAGGGAAATAGATAATGGGGGGGGGGGGGCAGAATCTGAATGTAAGGGTATAAATGAATTTGTAATTTCAGCCAGAACTAGTGGAGGTGATGTTTGATTTTGCCCAGCAGTTTTCTCAGCTCCAACTGAATGATACAGAGATAGGCCTGGTGACTGCCACTATATTAACCACCCCAGGTAATAGGCCTTCCTGGCCACTACAATATTCATATAGTACAAGCGAATTGAATATGTCTTTTACAATATAATGTTGCCCGAGAGTTTAAGGTATTGTCAGTTAGTATTTGTACCCTTTGATATTTCTATTTCATTCAGAGATGTGATTCATGTTTCTTGATGTACTCTAGATACAAAATGTCAGACTCTCATGTGTAAGGTGTTTAATCATGTGTTGATTATATGGCAGAATTAGTATTAAACTGGATGGTAAAAGTTAATTGAAGTTGAAAATCCCCAAAATTACTAATCAGTTCAAAAAGAATTTCTAAACATATATCAAACAACTCAGGTAATGATTTCAAATAACCTATATACCATATATGTATCTATAGACAAAATAATCCTCAATGAAAAATATAGAATGGAACTGATAGCCTCCATTTAATTTTTAGAGAGAATTGGTATTAGAGATACAAAAGCAGTGGAACATATCCAAGATAAAGTACAAGAGGCATTGAAGCTACAAGTCTCTCGCAACCACCTCATTGAACCCAACTTCTTTGAGACTGTTATGTCGAAGTTGTTGGAACTTAGGGCTCTAGGGAACAAACACTCTGAGCAATTGAACTGGTATCGCCATAGATGGGATAAGTTGAAACTTCCGCCATTGTTGTCGGAAATTTATGATATTCCGAAAGTAGATGATGAGGAAGATTCATGAAATGGATCTGTTACGTTTATATGTATGTGAATTATTGTAAAAAAAGCTCTTCCCATGGTGCGACCCATTAGGATTTTAATCTACTCAAACTAGCACTGTTTTCCAACATGAAATAATTCCTCACTCATGAGTGGTCACATCAGGGTCTCTGGATAGAAGTATATCCTTCAGATTTATCATGGAGAGATCACTAATGTTGTGCTATACACTGAGCTGGTTGCTATGGAATTATTATTATAAAAGTCCTTTATGGAAAACACTGTGCTGGATGAAATTATAAGATTGTCTGAGTTCGTTGTTGCACCCAAGGTGTAAAACTGAAGTGTCATATATATGTGATGCCATAACTGGGTATTATCATATTTTATATATATGCTCATATGTTGTGCAACATAATGGGATATCCCGGTCTTTTAATAGATGTACATGTATAGTACTTTGATCTTTTATTATGATTCAGTCAAGATCATATACACACTGTTTTGACTCCTTGCTGCATTGGCTTTGGATGAATTAACAATTGAGTAGTTGGAACATTTATTTTGTTTTTTTGGTTATTGTAAAATCCATTGTGTTGCCATATGTTGCAATGGAAACCAAACATGTAGCAGAAATCAGCATGGTGACGTGAAAACCAATGTTATCATATCAAAACCAAACATCTGGATTAGAATCTAGAAATACTTGCATAGCCTGTTGCTATGGTAACAAATCAGGTATTTCATTAAATAATTAATTTGCTGAAGAGAATCTACCAAAGCTGTATCATTGATTATATAGGTGCTCTATTTTGGGTTTGTATAAAATGATTAAAATCTCATTGCTAATAATTGCTGAAAGGAACTACCTTTCATATTGAAATTAATTTGTTAAGCTTTGCAAATACTAAGTAGAGTGTATTGATATACTGTATTTCTTTGTGTATTTTGGGATATTGGTCAATATATTTATGGAATGACGTGACATCATAATTTTATCCAGGAGATTACAAAGTACCAGGGATCAAGGATTATTTTGTCATGTCCATCTTGGTATATGGTCAAAAGCTATAAAGAAATTGATTATTGAGGAGTGTTTTTGATTGAGTGCTTAATGCATTAAAAAACTTTGCTTCACATAGCAATGATTGTTTTATGGCCACAGTGACATTATGTATGAGATTTAACCATCAAACAATATACAATGTAGGTGTAATTGCGTCAGGATTTCTGAAGTAGCAAATGAAGATTTATTTTAGTTTGTTCCTGAAAATATTTAGATATCTATGTTCTGGAATACCAATAGAACCTCATAGCATTAAAAAAGTTTAGGATTATTTTTCATATATTTTACTGTATAACATGGTGCTCTTATAGTTTTGAGTATTATAGTTTAGGGCTAAGAGAATCATATATGATAGGTTGTGTGTTTTGTCAATATATCGCAATGATCGCTGCCAAAATAATTCTGATGACGTAACAGTTTGTACAAAGATTCATCATTGTTTAAACAAAATCAACTAAATTTCACTATTTCAGATTCATTTTTCCAGCAATTTTATTGCAATTTTTTCAGTTTCTTTTCCAACGTTTTCAGACATGTTTTCACTTTAAAAGTGATGGTATGTGCAATTTGAACCATAAAATATGATTGTATATATTGCCAATGTATTAGTGGTGTCTAATTATTGTGACACTTAGATTACGAGGTCCATTTATTAGGACTCAGGGGTCCGTTTCTGGAACTATCGTAAATTAAGATTTCATTGCAAGTCATTGTAATTCAAAATGTACACAATGGTTTTCTCTCGTGATCGTAAGTCATGGTTGTACCAAAAACGAACCCCAGATTCACAAAAAAAATTTGGGTAACTCATTAGCCATATTACTTCTTCCTTTATACAACCAAATTGTAACAGCCAAAATGAATATTTCATATTGTACATCATTTAAGAAGTCATGTGTTGTCATGTTTTTATCAGTACCTCACTTAAGTTTATGAATCATTATACTCTACTGCATTAATTGAATTGTTATGTAGTAAAGTTCTTCTGTATATATCAGAATTTGCCTCCCAAAAGATACCTCCATGCTTATTAAGGGTTCACCCATAATACCTCTTGTATATTACAATCAACCTGGCCTAATTATGTTTATAATGGACAGTCTATCATACATTCCCTCAAAAGTTCCCAAAGTGCAATAGACTTCTTTGCATGAATGGGAGATTTTCAGGGGCTGTTAGGTAGACTGAAATACTTATTATATACTGTATATATTAAGTATTTACTGAGAGATGACAGCAATATTGTCCATGAATGGCATGAATATGGCATTTAATATTGGCAGTCTATATGCTTAAAACATTTTATTTTTAACTGGCTTATTTTGGCAGAAATATCAAGGCAAGGGAGACAATGAAAATGTCTATAAATGAAAAACAGATGGCTTTATTTTTGTTATGCTTTTTTGTTTTTATTAAAAGTTGTTGAATATGTTCTTTTATGAATCCTCTTTAACTCATAGATAAAAAGAGGTGTTTTATATATAAAATACATTACTGTGAAGTGTGAACTATACAATGCTGTACTTTGATATATGGTACTGCACTGTACTATACAGTGCTGTACTTTGATACTTGGTACTGTACTGTACTATACAGTGCTGTACTTTGATACATGGTACTGTTCTGTACTATACAGTGCAGTACTTTGATATATGGTACTGTACTATACAGTGCTGTACTTTGATACATGGTACTGTACTGTACTATACAGTGCTGTACTTTGATATATGGTACTGTACTGTACTATACAATGCTGTACTTTGATATATAGTACTGCACTGTACTATACAGTGCTGTACTTTGATATATGGTACTGTACTGTACTATACAGTGCTGTACTTTGATACATGGTACTGTACTGTACTATACAGTGCTGTACTTTTATACATGGTACTGTACTGTACTATACAGTGCTGTACTTTGATATATGGTACTGTACTGTACTATACAGTGCTGTACTTTGATACATGGTACTGTACTGTACTATACAGTGCTGTACTTTGATATATGATACTGTACTATACAATGCTGTACTTTGATATATGGTACTGTACTGTACTATACAGTGCTGTACTTTGATATATGGTGCTGTACTGTACTATACAGTGCTGTACTTTAATATATGGTACTGCACTGTACTATACAGCTACTTTGATATATGGTACTGTACTGTACATATTAAGAGACATTTATACTATACATGTGGTATGTATTATGTAAAAATCATAGAAATTTGTAAACTATTTTTTGTAACAGTGCCATATTACTGTAGGAATAATGCAAATTAAGCTATTTGCTGTTGATGTATAATAACTATGCGTGTACAGTGAATATTTTACATGTGAATTGTACACATATTTTATGTTTTACATGTAAGTTTATTTTTCATGTACTGTATATTTACATGTATATTGTACATGTATTGTATATTTACATGTATATTGTACATGTGCTGTATATTTACATGTATATTGTACATGTACTGTATGTTTACATGTAAGTTGTACATGTACTGTATATTTACATGTATATTGTACATGTGCTGTATATTTACATGTATATTGTACATGTGCTGTATATTTACATGTATATTGTACATGAACTGTATATTTACATGTATATTGTACATGTACTGTATATTTACATGTATATTATACATGTGCTGTATATTTACATGCATATAGTGTCATGGTGGTCATATATATTGGAACTCAGTTTTGGAAAAGAGTCCAATGTTTTATGAGGCTGTGCCTGAGATTGTATTCAGGCTCAAGTTCAGAAATGTTCAATTCAAAATAGTCTTTATCCAGAGTGAAAATAAATATGAGGAGATTGGTATTCACAGAAGCGGAATATGTGTATCTTATCAAAGACAATTAGTATTGTCAAATGAAAGATCACCTAGTATTGTCTCCATAGTGATTTCATATGCAATTTATTTATTTGATATGTAACACAGCGAACACACAGCCACCACAGAATTTAATGCAATGCCTCTATTCATTTTATTGTGTGTTCTTGTGGGGTTGTGCGAGACTGAGTTGAGCTTGTGTACTTTGTTTCCATTGTTATAGCTCAAAGAAATGTTTAAATTATGGTGCTAAAATAATTCATCAGGTGAAGCTCCCATAGTAAAGGTGAACGTTTAAATGTTTTAACCCTAAGCAGTCTGAAGCATTCCTCTCGATTTGATGGGAAATTTTGCAAATCTGTTCAACAGCAGCCTCGTTAGCTTTAGAGATTATATGCAGAATTGAATAAGATGCAAATGAGGTGTTCTTGCCATGAACAAAATATAAATTGATAGTTCTAAAAGATGTAGCTAGTAATAGTGTATCTGGATAGGCTGAAACTTGGACCCATTACTTTAAAATTGGAACAAAATCACGATGTTCAACCAGGTTTAAAAGTAAGATTAAATCTCCAGAAGTACAGAGAAACACATAAAAAAACTCTGAGCAGACTCTTGATTTTTTCTGTACTTTTGGTTTCTCCGACTCACACAACTGGTTGTTTGTTTATTACTGGTTAGAAACTGGTCCATGTTTTGGTCAATACAGGTGCATTGTATAGTATTGTATTATGTTAGAAGTATAGAGTACTGTACCAATTTATTGTGTATATGTACTATTGTAGCATGTGTACTGCATTATGTGAACTGTACACATGTACTGTGCATATGTATTTCTAAAGGATGTGTACAGTGTATGTAATAGTATGCACTATGCATATGTCCTGTGCCGTAGTAAATCTCTCTATATATATATGTATATGTAATTGGTAGAACCAATAGCAGGTAGTATCAACATTTATAATAAAGGCATTTTGGGAAAATAGTCCGCTTCTTGTGTTCTTTCTTCTTGTTTAGAAGTAAAACAAAAATTTCAATGTCCTGTTTAAGAACCCTATTCTTACTATTGAAAATGGATTCTAGCAATAGTCTCCAACAGGAATCTACTTTTTGAGATTCGATCAACTTGAGTTCTGAGAAAATGAGGATTACAGCAAGGGTGCAGTGATTTACATGGTGACATGCCTGATGGTATCCCATTATCCCCACACTAAGTCAATGGCGTTTTCCACATGTTCAGTTAATGCACCCTTGCTTAAATCCTCATTTTCTCAGAAAAACTTGAGTTGATCGGGTCTCAACAAGTAGATTCATGTTGGATAGTATTGCTAGAATCCATTTTTAAAAGTAAAGAATAGGGGTTCTTCAACAGATCATTCATTGGGTTTGCTTTTCAGAACTTTTTGTTGCTACAAGTTTGGGAACTCCCAAGTCGCAGCAAATTCCACCAAGCCTGAATAAAGTTACGCCATTCTCTACACTACTAAACCTCCACTTTATACACCAATTCCCTCAGTTTTCATGAGTATAATCCGCTCAATCAGGATACTCTTGTTATAGTGGACATTGTCCTTCACTAATCCTTAATCATGATCAACCTGCTGAAATAATGAGGCTGCAAGGAACTAGTGATGCCAAGAGTCACTTATATATTCTAAATCGACACTCCTTGCCCCAGCACCCAGCCACACGTGTGAAATATATCAGGTGTCCCAAAAAATGAGCCACTTTTTGACAAGTATTATCTCGGCAACTGATGAACCAAATTCACTGAAATTCACTTGTACAAAGTAGCCAAGGAGCATCGGTAGCAAGGTATAAAAATATGAAAAAAGATCAAGTAAATGTTATGTGAGTACTAAGAAATTCAAGTTAGCATGTCATTATTATTACGCGGTAAACACGATACAAAAATATGTCATATTCCGCAACGAATATGGCATATTCACTTGCGGTGTATGCCAGATTCACCTGCGGTATATGGCATACACACTAACCAATGAGAACGTGATACGGAAGTACGCAATTGTCAATTGCATCGATTGAACGAACAAGTAAAATTTTATTAATTATGATAATGATTACTGAATCAACAGTACTGTGTATCGAATATATTAACTTAGCAGAAGTATCAGTCACCAATCTCACGTAATAAACTTACTCAATCAATCCAGGATTCATATATTAGTACTCGACGCACTAACTATATTCAGTTGGTAATCCAGCGTAGTTTTACATTTAGAGTCGACTCTCGCAACCAATCAAATCAAAGCTTTCTGTATCACGTTTTCACCTGCGGTGTATGGCATATTCCGCAAGTGAGTATGACATATTCCGCAGTGAGCATCGGGTATTCACTGAAATCAATGTATCGCATATTCTCTGCGGAATATCGCATACTCACTTGCGGAATATGCCATATACCGCAGGTGAGTATGACATATTCACCCGTATCACAAATACCGCGCAACCATGAATGTATGCCATATACAGCATAACAATTATAGCTCATACCGGAGCAACACAATGAGAACTTTATAGCGTTTCTACCCAAAAAATGAGAAGCAATTTAACAAGTAATTTGTCAGCAATAGATGAGCCAAATTCTTTGAGAACTTTACCTGAGGCACTCTAGGTTATCCTCTGCTAGTGCCATAAATATGTAAGAGATTGGTCTCAAAGTATATGTGAGTATTTTAGAATTAAAGACAGTATGTCAAAATAACCAATATCAATGTTAAAGTCCCTTATTAATCCATTTCCAAGCAAAAATACTTTACCGCATTTATTCTTACAATATCACCTCCAATGAATTTGAGAATGAATTGGATTTTGGATATTTGGGATGAATGAAAAGAATCAATAAGACATCACTCGGCTCCCATCGAAGGCAATGAAGACTGAGCGTGCGAAGATGATAGCTGGTACGAGCATTTTTGAAGTCTCATATCAGAGCTCTGGTATGGGAATTTTTGACATGCTGGTTTGAATTTCTTAGAACTCACAGAATATTTACTTGATCTTTTTTATATTTTAACAAATTGCTAAGGATACTCTTAGGCTACTTTGTACAAATTTTCAGTGAATTTGGTTTATCAGTTGCCGAGATATGGTTAGGAAGTAAACAAAACTCAGAAAAAATGTGTGAAGACATTTCACTCACATGGGAATCTAAGTTTAGGTTACTCGGGTTGAATTTAACATCAGATCTTCAAAATATTGAATCCATTAATTTTGAAAATAAAATTCAGGAAATGCAAACTGTAATAAGTAGATATAAAAAAAGAAACTTATCAATACTAGGAAAAATAACGGTTCTTAAATCATTTGTTTTGCCTAAAGTAGTACATTTATTTCTAGTGTTACCCAAATTGTCATGTGCAAATCATAAAAGAATAAAACAACTGTTTACTTCTTTTATATGGAATTCCACAGTAGCAAAAGTAAGCTTCTCACAATTAGTTCAAAATGTTGAAGATGGAGGTTTGAGAATGATTGAACCAACGCTCTTTGAACAATCCCTCAAACTTACATGGATGCAAAAACTTCTTAGAGATGGCTCTTGGCAAGAAACTGCTTTAAAAATCATCAATGTAAGATCAAGAAATGAGCTTTTTATGTATGATTCAAAATCAATTCAAAAAATTGAGGAAAATGTTTCGAATAATTTCTGGAGAGATTTTGTTCATGTTCTGAGAATTTACACACAACAGAAAGAAAAAGAAGCTGAACATAATACTAAACTGAGAGCTGAACAAGCTATGTGTAATACATGGGGGAAACATACCAAAAATCAAAATGTTCAATATATACTGCAAAATACAAAGGTTAACAATGAAGTAATTGTACTACAAGATGTATTTCATAATTCAAAAAGACTTCTAACGCTTTTAGAATTCAATGACAAATTCCACAGTAATATTAATTTTTTAGACTATTTGAGTCTAAAAAACACTATTCCAAAATCTTGGCTAAGAGACCTCATGGAGAATAATCAGAATATCACTGATTATGAAAGAAATAAAGCACACGTACAAAAGTTCCTTACTCAGTCAAAGATTAGTAAAATAATATACTGGAAATTTCTTCAGAATTTAGAAAAGAATTCAAAATATATAGAAGGATGGAATAAAGATCTGAATTTGTCACTCAATCAAAATGATTGGAAGAAGATAAATAAACTTAACAAACTGAGTAACTATGAACCAAAGTTATCATCCTTCACTTAGAAAGTCCTTCACAGATTTTTAGCAACTAATACATACCTAAAAATGTGTGGACTCGTAGAGTCAAACATTTGCACTTTTTGTAAAGCAAATCCTGAAACTATTTGCCATCTTCTGTATGAATGTACTATTGTAAGTGCCGTATTAAATGACATTAAACAATGGCTTCCTTTAGAGCTCACATTGCTATGCACTAAACAAAATGTATTGATAGGACCTGAGAGTATAAATGAGAAGACAATCATCTTAAATAATATGCTATGTATTTTTAAAAGGTATGTTTATTTGTGCAAATATTCTATGCTAAAACCAACACTTAAAGGTTTTATAAGTAATGTGAAGGAATATTTTATTATGGACAAACGGGTTGGCAGAGGCGATAAGTGGAAAATCATGGAAACAAAATTAAACAAATGAAACTGATGATTTTTTCCTTTAAATAAAAAAATGCCAATCAGTGGTATAACGTCTCTTAAGACGAAATATTTAACCACTGTACTGTATTGTAAAATTGTTAAATGTAGGTTTACCATGTAACTGTACTGTAATTGTTTTTTGCAATTGCTTTAACATGCTTATTCTTTGAAATAAAAAAAAAATAATAATAATAATACTTGTCAAAAAGTGGCTCATTTTTTGAGACACCTGATATTATTCTTATGAAGTCTGTTTAGCGTTGTTTTAAGTAGATTACTATATCCTAGATGTCATCTAGGTCACCTGGGCCCTGTTTAATGGTCCATAAACACCCACTAGTCTTCATGGCTTGCATATGGGTATCATTATAGAAAAACAGGGACTTGAAATATGGTACTCAATGTTATGAAGCTTAGTTGCGCATAATGTATGGTAGAAATAACTTTTTTTCTTTTGCTTTTATGTGATAATTTATTTGTGACTAATTGATAATGGTACAATGCATGTTATCATATATTTAGTGATTCTAATCAGAAATACTCATTGGAAAAATCATCTGGGATTCACAATTTTGAAAGCCAATCAGTTAAAGGATCCTGTCTCTGATTTATGTGTAATAATTTTTGAATATTTATATGTAATAAGGTTCCATATCCAATCGTGAATGCTAATCTACTCAAAATGAGGCTGACATTTACAAAGGAGAATCATTTGTTTGAAGTTTGACAAGCAACCTACGATTTCCTTGCTCGTCCAGTTTTATCCATTTCTGAAAAAATTCATATAAATGAATCATAGGATATTCTCTATTTATCTGAATGTATGTGTTAGTCAATACTGAAGCCAAGACCCTTTAATGTGACTCTCAGGACTTATAAATAAGATCATACATAGAGATGTAAGGCATATTAATAAGCAGGGAATGTTACAAACTACATGTTCCCAATCAAATGTATATCAAATCATATATGCACACATATAATCAATGCTAAATATGGAGTATATTTGTAACATGTAAATTTTGATGACTCTTGATATGTGCTATATTGTTTCAGAATATCACATAATATCATTTACCTGCTTAAGGCAATGCATACTCGGACACACAAATCAACAGATACAAATCCTTATTAGCTAATCAGACAGGTTGAAATCCAACCAAAAACTTACATGTATTTAGATATTTTAAAGGGTTTTGCTTTGAGACTTCCATGATGCCCATTGCCCACAGTTGTAATTATAACCTTCTGACTGGAATAGAAGATTTTAATGTTTGATGCTAATAAGATGGAATTTCTGAGATTTTTTCTTCAAAAATGCAATATCGAAGCAACACCCTTTATGCGATCTATTGAACTATAGCTTTACAACATATACTTTGATAACATACAAGTATATCAAATTATTTCATGATTATGAAAACATTTGGCAAATTATGCTTTTGTCTTCGGAAATATATTCTTGTATAAAAACAGCTAACATGATTTTGAAGTAAAAATGTAATTTTATTTTCAAAACATGTAAATCTTTTAATATTGTGATTGTTTTTTGAAGTCAGATCTTTTATATTTTAGGGTAGCTGCCCAATTTAGAAAAAAATGTTTGTTCGGTGTGAGATTCCAATATTTTTTGTACTGGTATTTCACAGTTTTAAGCTTTTCAAAAGTTACATGACAATCGTTTTATCAAACATGTTAACAATTCATAAGCAGCAAACTGTGTTTGCATGGAGGAAAATCAGAACTCACCAGTCCTATTTCTGTTTTTTTCAATTTTAGTCACTCTTTTTTCTTCTTTTTTGTTTTTCATTCAAGTTATATCATATATACTCTAAGCATTTTAAACAAATAAATATTGTTTGTATCCTTTCATTGGGTTCACAAGAAAGCAAAATGTGAGTAAATTAATTTATGAACACAATGATTTTGAGTTTCCTTAAAACTCAAAACATGTGACGAATGCATAACAAATAGCAATGATGTTTAATTCATAAAACAATACAAGTATTTTTGTATAAAATACATAAAATATAGCATTTTTGAAAACAAAGTTGTGCATTCAAAATAAAACAGGGAGCCATTTACATAGGTTCTATATGTTTTTAGTGCTTTCATCTCTCCATAACACCTCTGTAAATAGCTCACTGTGCATAATATGAACATATTCTAGTGTAAAAACACCTAAGAATGTGAACACCTTAGAATAAGAACACCTGGTTCTGACTCTCAGTGATTCACATTGCCATATATTACTTTATATTTATTCATTTTCCTCTCCTGTTCACCTCTAAGCTGCCAATGGAAATTGAGAACTATATATCTTCTAGTTGCATTATAGATGTCTCTACTTGCATCCTTCTGCTAGAATTTAGAGCACTACATGCCAAGCATTCTTTGTGTTATGTCGATTGAGTAGATTGTGGACTCCGACTCCATCCTTTGTCCTTGAGAAAGTTCTGTTTGCTCCAAAAAATCCAGAACCACACGATTACAGAGCCAGTATATATAAGGAAATCAGTGGAATAATTCTGAGGTAGTTGGATGAAATATTTTTGCACATGAGTTAAATCTAAGATAAGTACCTATCTGCCTATAGAAAATATTCATTTTTCATAATCTTAAAATACATGAGAGCCATTTCCCAGGGAATCAAGAATGAATGGCACAAATCATAGAAGCCTGATTTTTGTTGTCTTTAATACCTCAAATCGGGAATATGTAAGAATATATTTCCCCCAACATGTCATGGGTGTGGGCTATATGTACTTTTTGGGTTAGACTGAAGGCAGAATGCTTCGCTTTAGTGCTCTACACTATATTCTATATTCTAATGCTGATTCCTCAAGTCCTGGTCCATCATTCTACAACTGGTGCCCAGGCATGGGGAGCATTGCGGCCCAACTGAAACAAAAATAAAACATTTGCCATAAACAAATGAACTTTCCATAAAACAATGCATTTGGGATGGAGCAAAAAAAGCTGAAGGTTATAACAATATGTATACTTGGTGGTGACATAAAACATAACTTTGAAATATTGAATGTGTAGTAAGACCTGCATATCCGAACACTTCTCTAATCTGAACATTTCTCAAATGAATGCTCTTCTAATATGACATACATGAATACCATTTTTTTTATCTGAACTGCACTTTCCTGTTATTTGACAACCTGTCAATCTGAACACTTTTGGCTGGATCTAGTGGCCAGTTCTAGTATCATTGAAATTATGCAGGTTTTACAGTGGTGGTGCAATGATGATCAAATAACGAATTGATGTTTATTTCTATTGTTTACTTTAGAAAGTGACCTTTATATACCTGAATATCTGTGAGTTCCTTCCAGCAGCGATTCCAAATTGGATCTTTCTGTTCCATAGTTGGTATATGGTAGTCCTCTCCCATGTATTGTATTCTCTCCACTGGGCTAACTACACATGCTGTACCAGCTCCAAATATCTCCTTTACCTAAAATAAAAGAACAGATGTGTATAGACACAAAATGCAGTGAACATATACAAAATACAAATTCTGTAAGTCGACAAAAATGTTATATATAGATATAAAGCCCAATGATATACCATCGTTTAGGAAGATACAAGGTCATGCAAAGCTGTAAATGGATATATGACAGATACACTGTAATGTACAAAATGTAGAGGAAATGACAGCTCAAACAACAAAAACTAAATATAAACAAAATACAATTTTTTAACTGTAAACAGACACTAATGAACTTAAATGTGCAATCTATTTTTCCAAGTACTCACCCTATTTTCTTTAAGCGCTTGTAGAACTTCTTTCATACCAAAGGTTCTTTCCACTACATTAAAACCTCCCTGAAACAGTAGAAGAGAATATAATGACAGGCGAAACAAGGCAGTGATATGCAAAATGTCACCACCTGCCATTTGTTACAAACACCGAATGCAGACTGTTGAATGCCCAACACCAACCACTGTCCACAAAAAAGAGACTATAACACAATATCACCACTTGTGATGGTGACATAAAAATCTCACATCAAAATATTGATACAAAGTTCTGATGATTGGCTAAAAATGCACCTTGATCTGTCAAGGTATTTTGTCAACAAATCACTTAACTGCAGGAAAGGAATTATATCATTATTAAATCTCCAGATGACTATGACTAGGGATAAGCAGCTGAAAACATACCCACTGCTTTGTCATTTCTATGAGACTTTTTCTCGTCACTCCCGGTAGGATGATCCCATCAAGAGGTGGCGTAACAAGCTCACGTTCTGGAAATATACATACAGGCCTACAGGGTGTCCCAATATTTGATGTTGACTTAAAGAAGAGGGACCTGGTGTACAAATAGGAGGGAGATCAATGGAATAGTCAAAAATAAAAGAATTTTCACAAAAAGCTAAAGTATGGACAAAACCCGATATTTGAATGGGAGTTGCTAGCAAGTTGGAAATCCCTGTTTAAGAGAATTTGACTTTCACCACAAACTTTTGTCAAAGTTTTAGTCTTTAGCATTCACTTCACACTCCAAAAACACAAATAATAGCTTAATTTCAAACAATTGTTGAAATTGTAGTCATCTGTGATAGTAAGAGGGTGGAGTGATAAGCTGCACGTGATTCAGGGTATACTCATACAGTAAAACATATTAAGGGGAACACCTTTGAAAGTGGAACACCTCCATAAGTATAACACTTTTAAAACTACCACTACCAATTAACTTAATTTAAAATTAACCTCTGTAAGTGGAACAACTCTCAAGTGGAACAACTCTCAAGTAGAACAACTCTCAAGTAGAACAACTCTCAAGTGGAACCTTATTTTGATATCAAAGGTGTTCAATTTACACAGGTTAAACTGTACCTCCATTTGCATTGATCCAGTGCATGAATAAATTCATGGTCCCCACTTCAGTGAGTTGGTGGTCTTCCCCATACAACCACAGCACCTGCTGGCATCCTCTTCTAACAGCCTCGGCTTGGATAGCTATAGTTGGCCCATAATTTCTGAAACAAATAGAATATTTTTGATTTGATTTCATAACATGGATTTTGTAGTAAAAGATTGAAGCATTGACCACTATTTTATATGAGTAAAAACTAACCATAGAAATTTAGAATATTTTTCAACTTACGAGCCCATTTTGGCGAAACCACATCCTCCAGGCCAGGCACGGACATATTCTGGATCAGCCATTAATGAGACTGGTTGGAAACCATGGGCGTAATAAGGACCAACTGGACCAATCAGAACAAAGAGTAATGCCTCTGTTGTCTTAGAAACCCCTAAGGACGGCTCAGTCCCGATTAATGTTGGACGCATATAGAGGGATGTATCTGGAGCATGTGGTATCCAGTCTTTGTCCATGTCAACTAATTTTGCAATACATTTTGTAAGCTCTCCACCGTCAAATGTCTGAAGAAAAAATTTTGACATCAATTAAATCAAAATTGAAGTTTTCCTTATGTCCACGTTAAAATACAACAAAACAATACAGTAAAACCTGTGTAAGTGGAACACCCTTTGTTCCAGCTGAAGGTGTTAAACTTCAAGATGTGTTCTACTTACAGATGTTTAATTAACAATGGATGATCATAGGATGGTAGATAGAACAATACAATAGTTTTGGCTATCAATCTGCTCCCCACTGCTTAATAATCAATTAATTATCAATTAATTCAATCTAAAGAACTTATTGGTTTCTCTATCTGACCTTTAAACTTTCAAACTCAGGCACAATTGCTCACAATTTGAGGTGGTCCCCCAAGGTCAACAATATCGGGTTAATTTATATTTTTAAGAAATGTATTATTAGCAGTAAGATTAGCAGTACCCGTCTCTAACCAGAAATGCAAATATCAGTTTAGTACTTTTGATTTATGGTTCAGGCCACACCTAAGTGATATCATATTCTCCCACATACTCAGGAAGTATTATAATGTGCAATGATATTACCACAATGAAACCATGTTTAGGGATCAAAACTTCAATATTGCCTCATCTTATCATAATAACATATTAGGTTACCACATCCCTCCTTTCTAACCAAAAATGTGCATTTAATTACAATTTGCAAAATTATCAATTACTTCCCTTTAAAAAAGTTAAAAACATTATCGGCGTTATAGTCCAAAAGTTATTATTATATCCTTAATGAGACACTAACACACAGTGACCCTATCTCTAAAATTAAGTCAGAAATGTGGCATTTCCAAGGAAACGTTATGATGGCACTCAGAAAATTCATCAGTATGTTTTGAATTTGTAGAAATCTAGAAATCTTCACCCTTTGATACTTCATGATGTAATTACATTTGCACCATTACATTTTAATGAAAATTTGAATGTTTTCAGACTCAAAGTGGTTATTTTGAAATGAGTAAATGAAAGAATAAGGACTAATGAAGCAAATTGAAAAATACATTTTTGACCCTGAGAAGGTCATTGAAGGTAAAATCTCAAACCTAAAGTCAGATTTGAACTTCTGAGAACTTGCAGATGATTTTGAAAGTTGAAAAAAGACCCTTTTGACCTTTTTAAACCTTTTTTGACCTTGAGAATGTCAGAAATCTTAAGCATAAAGTCAGATTTGAACTTCTGAAAACTTGTAGATGATTTTGAATAAAAAAATTGTCAGTCTAAATAGTATTTGTTAAGTTATTGGAAGTTGTAAGAATTTGTTACAGACACTAACGACCGATTGCCAACCACCAACCGCCATCAAAAAAAGGAGATCATAACAATATGTCACCACTTTTTGGTGGTAACATAAAAAGCTACATGTACAAAGCCATATGGATCATCAGTAAATCTCTGCTTTATCATTTATTATAAACTAATACTTGAATTATAGGCGTTGTAATATTTAACAATCTAACTAACAATTCTATTATAAATCATACAAAAAATTAATAAAATAATTATCTTGCATAAGTATGTGTAATTCTATATCAATAAGTAAATTGCAAAGAGTTTAAATCAATTGAGTTTATGAAAGGTAATTGGTAGGACTAGACAACTACTATTTTAATTTTCAAGAGGTTTTTAATCACTATCATCATTATTTATCAATTTTATTTGTTTAAAATCTTGAATGTGTTATATGTGTGTTTCACTTTTGTCTATGGCCTTACTCCAAAAAGCTCCACGTTGATCCAATTTCACGAGACAGGGTAAGTAATAATTAATCTCCAAAATATTTTTCAATTTTTGAAATTGTGTTAAGCCATGTCTTATTTCAGAAAATAATAGTATTTTGTAAGTGATTATTATTTAACTTTATAATTGTACATGACTTTTATATATTACATTTAGAAATATTTGCAATGTAAGTAAATCAAAAAAGATGGAATAGAATATGTCACTGCAAAAAAATATTTTGAAAAGACATGAGATGACAGGAATAAATCTCTTTTATAAACTTGAACAAAATACACTTATTGTTGGGATTTAAATGTTATTGTGTAATACTGCTCTAAAATGGGTTAGAAACAAAGAAATCAAATCTCTTTAGCCAATTTATGCCATAAGGCATCTAAGTTCAATTTGTTCATGGCAGTAAGTATAATGCCTATTAAAAAGTTGAGACATAAAACGAATTTATTATTAGATCAATCACTATTTGTTCCTTGTTTGATATTGTGACAGCTATACTCTCATGACTTCTTATTGTGAGGGCTATATACTCTCATGACATCTTATTGTGAGGGCTATATACTCATATGACACCTAATTGTGAGGGCTATATACTCTCATGACATCTTATTGTGAGGGCTATATACTTATATGACATCTTATTGTGAGGGCTATATACTCTCATGACATCTTATTGTGAGGGCTATATACTCTCATGACATCTTATTGTGAGGGCTATATACTCTCATGACATCTTATTGTGAGGGCTATATACTCTCATGACATCTTATTGTGAGGGCTATATACTTATATGACATCTTATTATGAGGGCTATATACTATCATGACATCTTATTGTGAGGGCTATATACTCTCATGACATCTTATTGTGAGAGCTATATACTCATATGACATCTTATTGTGAGGGTTATATACTCTCATGACATCATATTATGATGGCTGTATACTCTCATGACATCATATTCTATTTTCATGACACTACATTAAAAGATATACTCTCATAACATCATAATATTATGAGGGCTTCTCATAATATTTACTGCACTGCTAGGGTTCCATACTCCTGTGACATCATATCATGAGGGCAGACAGTCTCCTACTATTTTCTCTAACAATATGTTGATCGTGTTTTAGGGAGATGTGCTTTTCAAATATTGCCTATTAGTGAACCTATATAAAGTGAGAGCCAGTTCAAAGGTTCTTTTAATTGGCCACAATGATGTAACACCCCAATATCCCGGAGAAACAAAAATAGAGAATATGGGCATTAGCAAACTGAAATTGTCAAGAAATGTGAGAAAATCAAATATATCATTATAATATTAGAAAGAAATGAGTGGAATCCGCAGATAAATGTCAAGCACGGGTCATTTGTTTGTTATGACAGAAATTATTGCAAAACTTTAAACATATTCAAATATATACATTTCAATTTTGTAAGGAGCCAAAGATAGCAGTGTTAAATCACTTCCTGTACCAATTAGAAAACACACCTTTTGAGAGGGTATCTTTGATAAATCTTTTGTGATTTGATACAGCAAACGTCATGTAATTGAGTTGCTGTATATTTATATGAATTGTTCTTTTCGCGATATTACAATTCAAAGTATCGGCCAAACGAACACTTGTATCAAAGCACAACTCAAGTAGAGAATCGGTACTACCTTTATTTAAACATCGTGTTCATATCTGCATAATTTCATTTATTTGATAAATCGTTGTTAATTTTCTATTGTTGATAGGCTGCTTAAAGATAAGAACATAATACATATTGTTTTGAACAGATTTATGGGCTTTTTGGAGTCAAATAGCAATTATTTCATATTGTTTTCCTTAGTGATGTTTTGGTACTGGTTTGTGCATAGAACGGTGAAGAAACCAGTATGACTCAAGGGCCAACAGATGATTGTTCCAGGAATAATTGATTAGATTTGAAATTCTATTACCAAAATCTTTTATTCCTCATCTTAATGTACTAATTTCTTTTGTTAATATGACATTTCAGCTTTAGCTCTAACATACATAATTAATTTCAATCATATTATACCATTTTAATAAAAAACAATATCAAAAGTGTGACATGACATTCACATACGAGTAAAGCATGATGGGAAAAATATTTAAATATCAGAAACACACTGAAATGATTCAATTGATTCCATGATAACTACATATCCCACAGAAATCAAAATAGAATTTACATTTCAAAATTCAAAATTGAACCTGTTAAGGCTTAATGAAGCAGATGCGAGTAGGTAGTTACCAGTTTCACCACCAGGTTGCTCGTTCGGGTCAGATAGCATGACGGGTATAGTAGAAAGTTCCCTTTAACTTAAATTACATCTGTTTTAGTGGTTCAATTTTCATATAACCCTTATGTATCCAATAGTTGTGCAAATTAAAATATGTCCAGTAAAAGAAAATGTTATCTGTCCAATACAAGAAAAGATATTTCACTTTTGTGATTTTGTAACATGGGGTCTATGTGGAATCAACTAAATCAAGATTATTTCTACTTGCATCTAGTCTATTCCTGAATTAGATCCAGTGTCACAGTGTGTTTGTGAAATAAATGGTTTTGTATGGTCAGGAAGAAATATCAACTTCATTTCTTTTCATTATGATTCCTCCCATAAAGCAGACTCTATACATCTCAGTGCTAGATGCAAAATCAGCAGACACTTAAAGCACAAACATTTTTGTCATTCTTTTATCTAGAGAGTTAGCTTATTCAAATCAATGTCATTTAAATAAAAGAAAAATATGTTTTTCATAATCAGGCACACTTTCAAAGTGTAAGAAACCTACAAATAATTAGCATTCAATCCATCCTAAATTAACATTATCTAAACTATCTTCTTAAATCTCTATAAGGAGCAATTAGAGAATTAACCTTTTCAATTTGAGCTTTTGAATTCTGATTTTTTTACATGTGCTATTATGATTTAATATTAATTGCTGAATTCAATATTTTCAGCTCTTTAATACCTCTTGACATGAACTTTGATGTAGGCCCCCTCTTTTGTGGTTGAAGTACTATTTGATTTTACATCAGCGACATCAAATATCACTTGAAATAATCTAACAATACATTTGACATTTATTCATATATTTATTTAATATTTGTGTAAATAGCGCTAAAAATGTCCGAAATTTTTTACAGTTTAAGCTATCTAGGATGCCTGGGTGATAATTATTTCATGCGTTTGTTTCGGCATTAGGCTACGTGTCTAACACATTATTTCTGCATTGGGGATATTACAATATTGTTAAATGAGGAATTGATGGTAATTGCTCCCACCTTTTAACACCTATAATACCTATATATTTCTAACCTATGTAACCCCAAGGAAAGTATCAATCTAAGCATACTTATTTTGTACCATTTCAGGCCCATAGTCAGGAGGGGTTCGCAGGGTTCAGGCAACCCCCCCCCCTGGCCAAAAATTCTTTCAAATTCATGCAGTTTTTCACCATTTTGAGCACTTCTCAAGTGATTTTAGCCATATTTGGGCCAAAATTGTCAAATGTGAACCCCTCCTGGAAATTTTTGAAAACTGAACCCCCCCCTTGGCAAATCCTGGCTACGGGCCTGCATTTCTAACTAGAATTCTAGTATTCTAACAATACATGGCAATTTTTAGAACCTAGATCGTGCCTGTTTCACTTCTGCAAGAATCCATCCAAATCCATTCCAAATTTAGCTAAAGGGGGTTGGGTCAAAATCTCAATGTTTTTCAGGTGATTTAAAGAAGGATTAGACTGACCCTACCCCTCCTTATTGAAACTAATAGACATTGAAATGAAATACATGTAACATTATCACCCACTAAAATTTAAATATATTTTAGATTAACAAATTGGACATTTACACTTTCCCCACACACTTTCACAAATAAAAATGGTCAATTGATTTTTGAACTGATCCCCTATAACATTATTTGTCATGTGGCATTAAAGTAATGAATAAAAACTGCAGACATGTTTACATCAATTCAATAATCAATCACCTGAAATTTAAATAAATTAAATTAATTGATAATGTAATAAACAATTTATTTTCGACTTATTGTATCTTACTATAAAACAATTTGATTGTCAATGTTTTTGTAAAAGATGATGAACAATATGTTATTGGTATTCTATGCAATTTCTTTCTAAATTTGGACTGAAATAATCGTATTAAAGTATACAAACCGGCAAAGCAGCCCTACTTGCGCTGTTTATCATCCGTTTCATATTTTCCTCAGGTCTGAATAATCGTATTTTGTCATCTACACCTCTGTAGGCTTTCATTCCTTCAAACAACTGAAAATATATTTAAAATACAATAAATTAAATATATATAACCAAAAGCAATAGTAAATATCCAAGCCTTGGATGTTTTAGCAATTAAGACATATACGTTGTACTTAGGTGGGTCAAAAAGTTTTGCAGTTGATGCCATAACTTCAAGGAAAATAGGACTTTTACAATGAAACTTGGTACACATATGTGTTATACATTTATACATTATATATTAAAATGTGGGACCTCAATTTTGATTGGTTCTTGAGATATGGTTGCTATGGTAACCATATCTCATTAGAGGAAATAAGTGATTTACTGGATATATCTAAGGGGTCCTGCCATACAATTGTCACAAAGATCTTGAAAAAGCGGTATGTTGCAGCAAAGTGGGTTCCAAAGTTCCTCACAGTGGAGCAAAAGGAAGCGCGTCTTGCAGCATCTAGGCAATTTCTGGATACGTTTGGCATCATTTCCAAATGCTCCCTGAACCAGTTCATAAGTCTCTTGCAAAGTCTTGCCATTTTGAACCATGCACTGTATCAGATTTCTATGCTTCCATTTCATCAATTTGGTTGGTGTGGAAACATCTGCCACTTTAAAAAATTTGGGAAAAAAATTCAAAATTTCCTCACTTTTCCATCTCAATTTTTCAACTGGGTTTTGGACAGTATACATCACAAAGGAACTTATCGTGTCACTTGTCTATTGTGATGTCATAGACACAATTAGAAAAATTGAAGAATTTGAAGAAAAATAGCCACCCAAAGACACTTACACCTGCTAATTACCACTTTACAAAGAGTTTATTCAAGCAAGAAAACTATTTGGAAAAACGTTATTTCGGGTTGAACATGGTACCAACCACTCTGGTTACCATAGCAACCATATCTCAAGAACCAATCAAAATTGAGGTCCCAAATTTTAACATATAATGTATAAATGTATAACACATATGTGTACCAAGTTTCATTGTAAAAGTCCTATTTTCCTTGAAGTTATGGCATCAACTGCAAAACTTTTTGACCCACCTAAGTATTTAAGGTATGTCTAAAGAAGATGGCTGCTCTACATTGGAGTGAAAATTATAATTGGAAATGGATAAGAAAGGTGTTTATTACATTACAGATATATTCACTACTGATATGTGTTCATTTGAAACAAGCGTTCACTATTCACATGTGTTTACTTGAAAGGGGTGTTCACTATTGATAGGTGTTTATTTGAAAAAATGTGAATTGGAGAGGTACATGTTCTATTTTTGGAAAATCAATATTACTCAACTTTCTCATCCCAAACTTCAAACAAAAATTGTATAATAACAATTGTTTGATGAACATGATCTTTTGACAGATTCCAACATATGGTTGCCATCACATATGATATACGAGGTTTGTTCAATAAATTCTGATAAAAGTGCTCTCATTTTCTTGTTTGTAAGGGTATCAAGATGAAATTTTCAGGAATTAAGGGCAATATATATGTCTTTGTAGTTTGTACTGACCAAATATTATGAATTTATTTTGGGCACTTTTAAAGTTAAAGCAAATTAAGTATAAATGGATGAGGGTACTGGGAACAGATCATGGGCCACTGTTCATTATCATGATATATCAATATATTTCTTTGACATTCACACATGAAATTCAACTGTAGACAAAAGTCTTGGCCTCCAAACAACATATCTTTTTTAAAACAATTTGTCTTATTCTACAAAATAACTTAATTTTTATTATCTTTATACGCACCTGAGCCATGAAATAGACATTTTTCATTGTACAAAACACACATAGACAAAAACAGTATAATAAATAGACTTGGTATCAGTGCGTACCTTTGTGCATGTAACAATATAAAAATGCATATCATAATTAATTTCATTGTGTTCTACGCCAATACTTCATATGAACGATTCATCATCGCAACAAGGGGGCCTTATCTTTAAAATACAATCACTCTTCTCTAAAATCACTTGAACATTATTGTGAACACGAAGACAATCACAGTTAAGGTCAGTCCTTATCAAAAATGTCATTTTCACTAAGAATGCAAGGTATATTATCTTTTACAACACTTATTATAAAACGGAGCCTCAAGTCTTTATTAAATGTACAATTAAAGTGGTGTGTTTTGTCTTTATTAAATGTACAATTAAAGTGGTGTGTTTTGTCTTTATTAAATGTACAATTAAAGTGGTGTGTTTTGTCTTTATTAAATGTACAATTAAAGTGGTGTGTTTTGTCTTTATTAAATGTACAATTAAAGTGGTGTGTTTTGTCTTTATTAAATGTACAATTAAAGTGGTGTGTTTTGTCTTTATTAAATGTACAATTAAAGTGGTGTGTTTTGTCTTTATTAAATGTACAATTAAAGTGGTGTGTTTTGTCTTTATTAAATGTACAATTAAAGTGGTGTGTTTTGTCTTTATTAAATGTACAATTAAAGTGGTGTGTTTTGTCTTTATTAAATGTACAATTAAAGTGGTGAATGTTACCTCTAGATATATATGAGAAGTATAGGAGCCTGAAAGCTCATTTTTAAATTATATTGGATTAAAATGATTTCAAAATAATGCAAACTGTCTGAATGGAGATTAGACTATAAGGTGGACAGTATAAAACTGTTGACCTCTTTCAAGGTAAATTGGATACTTCCATTGTCATCCAATATCTAAACACAAGCGGCAAAGGGAATAGACTAAAAACCTTAAAGAAACCCAGCAACAAAAGCAAACACTAAGTTTAAACCTGTCGTAAGAAAAAAAGACCTGATATCCCAAAACCGGGCCAAAACCATGATCTAACGTGAAAAGAAATGGTGTCCAACACTCGCCTCCCCCCCAAAGAATAGTCAATATCACAATTTCAAGATTCAATGTCAACTGAATAAATAAATAGGTAAAAAATATTGTTCATTGTTCATTTGTGAAATGATTCCCAATTAAGGGTTTGCTTTGAGAGAAAGTGCAGGAGTTTAGTCCAAATGAAACCAATATGTTCTTTATGGATGTTGATTAATTGACCCTTGCCCTTATATATTTACCTCAGCAGCATAGTGAAGTGCTTTTATAGCAGGGTGAATGTCTAGATTATGGACTTCACAGATCTTTGGGGCACCCCATCCTTTCTCCTCTGTCCAATACACTTCAAGCATGTGGTCAGAGAAAGTTTTGCCAAATACGAGCTTGTCAGCATCTGGCTTTGACTTGAGATTCTTGGCTGGTTCGATTTGCAGATCATTAAACTGAAACACAAGTGAACATGTTAATTAAACAAAAAAGATAAATAAGTGAACTATGAGCTTATTATATCCATATGGTTGGGAGGGAACGAGGGAGGTGGGAAGATATACATATAAAAGTAAGCATGTTGCAATTGAAGAGATACATAAAGATCTTTATTTGAGCAAGGCAACCAGATAATTTAGGTCGATCAAATACAAATATCTGACTCGGTGATTAAAAAATGATACATTGTGTGGAAAGTCATCCTATAACCTGTTCCCACATAATTGTTTGATAAGAATGGTGTCAAAGTTGCAGGATATGTGTAAGGACAACGGAAACAATGTTACTACATTCTATTATCATGTTTAACTCTGAAAAAAATTTCAAAATGGCTAACTTTTAAAATAAAAAATATGATAAGAAGAAGTGGAATGATTAAGAAATAAAATATATAGGTATGTAGTAAACACACTAAATTGTACAGAGATGCAAGAAACTCAATTACTTTATTCAGATTTTAAAGAGAAATTGAGTGAAATAAGCGCAAGCAGACGGATTTCTTTGGAGTGAGCAAGAGTTTGTTTACACGCTCTTGAGGTGACAGATACAAGGGATGATACCCTCACATCTAAGACAGCAAAAGATACGGATTTTCATATCATATCTTATTGTTTTGCTTTCATTTCGAGTACTTTTCTGATTACAATTATGATGGACCTTTCAATTGTTTTTCAAATCATCTTGAATGCTTCCACACCTCCTTTATTCAACCTATTGTTAATACCTGTTAATGTTACTAGTGAATTTTAAATATTTTAATCTGTTGTATGATTAAAATATATATCCTAGTGAATAGAATATCACAATGGTTAATTTGAAAGAATAAATGAAGATTTTGCAAGGAATAGATTAAACATCCATAATTAATATTTGAGACATAAAGATTTTACAGAGATATTTTAGAGAAGTAGCAAGGAAAACTATGATCCAGTGATAATTATCATGTCAAGGGGCTGTTGAGAATAATATATATTTTGTATGCAATGTCTCGTATTGCCCTAAGTAAAAGTGTGCCACAATACTAGTTGAACAATAGCATGTCAACCTAAATGGTCACTTAAACATGAGTAAAATATTATGATAGTCACATTTTAAAATGAAAAATAGAGTGAAAAGAGAGGAAATAGACAGGAATAAAGTAAACAGACATGTAGTCAATGTTCTAAATTATATAGAAATGATTAAAATTGAAACACTTTATTCAAATTTTAGGGAGAAATGGAATAAAATGTAGTGGAAAGGGAAAGCATTTAGGCCTTGGGTAGGTATATTTACAAGTCATAAGACAAAAGAATTATTTATTTATGAATTCACATTTTGTTTTTATTTATTGCTGTTCAAATTCTGTTGGTGGATGCATGTAAATATGTAACATTTTCAAATAAGATATTATCAACAACTTTTTATCAGATGGGTGTAAGACAGTGAATTTGACGAATGGTATGAAATTACTTATTTTTTGTAATTTTCATCAAGCCCTCAGAGAAAACATATTAATGAGGTGGAAATAAGAGTTTTATTCATACAAAAAGACAATCTACAAATAAGTATGACATTTCTTGGGTCAAATACTAAAATTTTTCAGAATTGAATCAAATCAAACAGAATTAAAATATCAGAAGGGATTTCACAAACAGGTAAGGAAAAGAATAAAAAATCTCTGCTTTAATTTTTTAATTAATGATAATTTTATCAATTTCCAAATTCTAATTTGATAAATTATAGGAACTAATTGATAAAATGAAAGTGGTTAAAATCAGAAATGACATAAAAAAAATAAACGAGATGATACCAGCAAGTTTTTAACAATACCATACATATTTCAAATTGACATATTCAATTTCTTTATCTTATAGTGGTTTAAAAATACCTGCATGCGAGCATATATAAATCTCAATGCATTTGGACTGTATATTCTATTGTCAAAAAATCAGACATAAGAATGTAGACCTCTATCAATAAAAATGCGAGCACCTACAGATTTAGATAAGACCATAAGAAGTAGATTCTTAGTTTAGTGTCGTGGCAAAATCCAAATCATGCAAGGGTACAAGGAAAACAAACACAAACTCAACACAAACTTGTTTGCTGAGGAATGAATACATTTCAAGGGCATAAAAAAAGGGACGACATACCAATTTGTAGTGATTGTAAAACACATATCAATACATTTTATACAATATATTTAAACATATAGCTATTATTCAATGGTAAAAAATAAGAAAATAAACAATGTATGCCAAAATAGCACTGTCAATTTTGACACACATCAAATTATCCGCCATTTCGTCTGATTCTGATTGAACAAAATGCGACTGTACTTTCAGACCCTTGTGATTGCTATTAGGATGTGTTTGTTTTTTCTGATTTACTCAAAATCCTGCAAAGCAATGGGACGCAAAACAAAGAATCTACTTCTTATGGCCTAATGTATAAGGGAACAAAAACATAAGGTTTAAGTCGTTTTACATCAAACTAAACATGGTATAAAAACAATTAAGCTCCCTTAAAAGGGATTTAATCAAATATAGGAAGAATTGGTAAATCTCTGGCAGACAGCCTCCCCCTGAAAATCTGATTTACATATACTGAAACTGAATTCAAAAGATATATGTTCAGAATTTTTTTATGTCTATTTTTAATTCAAGTATTATCTGATAATCTGACAGATGGAAGATGTGTACCCTTGAGAGCATGGACATTGTTTACAATATATATGTTTTATTGTTGAAATGAGAACTTTCGCTTGTCTAGAAGATAATGAAAATTATACTTTGGCCTATCTACTCATAATATAAGAACAAACTGAGATAAAAACCATTTTATTTGCATCAGGGACAAGCTGAAATGGCACAATTTAAAAGTAACAGTATAATTGAACTAAACCCATTATTTAAGTTATTAAGAAAACAAATGAATTTGATATAATTGATTAATTGTTGAGAGCTTTATTGTTCAATTTATGTGTTACTGCAAAGCACGTAGAATAGAAAATCACAGACGACAGATAAGTCAGAGTTTGGGATATTAAAAAGTGAAAATAGAATTGGATATCAAATTTTGGGTCACCAAACATAAGGTATGAATGACTTTTATTTGTTTATTGAAGCAAAAATGATGACATTTCTCCTCAGAACAATACAATGAATGCAACAAATAAACGCACCACACAGGTTCTTCAATATTATATCTTTTATTGACTCTTTAGATGTCATATCATGACATATTTGTCACTAAGGTAGAGCAGTTCTTCCCATTGTCGAGTTGAAGAACTGGTATCTTTATCCTGGCTAGAACCATAGACAATTCTAGCCAGCGCCAGCCTTTTATCGAGTCAGCAGCACTCTAGTAATCGCCGGTATAGGTCAGCAGTCATAGGTCAAAGACAAATCACAAGAAGTGCTGTGACCTGGGTTTGAAATACCAGGAAGATCAATGTCTCAGCATATTGAAAATTCATTCAACACACAGATTTGGCGATGATCCACATTAATTGACCTTATTATATTTTTGACCTGATTACATAATATTTTCAATGACATTGCTTCAGGTGAGAGATGAAAGAATACTCGAAATACACACATGTGGCTATAATTTGACAATGGAATTTTCACATAATATAATGGAATGATTCGAAGAATGAAGTACATGTAAATGCAAATATAAATCATTTTGCTAATAACCAAATCATAACAAATAAGCTACGTATTCAAGAAATGTTCACATTTGACAAGCTATAATTTTTTTTCTTTAACATTCTAGTATTCACTACGTTGAAGTAAGCAGCATTAAAGAGAGGGTTCTGAGCAAATAAACAAAATCGCGATAAAGGACGATTCTCGGTTTGGAGAACGAAGTTCATCAATATAAATGAGCATTATCCCTGCTTCGGACAAATTTGATTTTTTTACATAATATAGAGTTGAAGGTCTTCTTTTGAATGGTCATAATTTAATTTGGGTTATATTTCTAGATTTTTCGCAAAAAAATATTAGCGCAGTACACTTATGAACTTTTTTCCCCAAATCGAGACTTGTATTTTATTGAATCAGTCTAATTGATCGTTATCCCTGCTTCAGACCAATTTGTTATTTTTACATCTTGTAGATTTAAATGTCCTCTTTTGAATATTCATAGTTTAATTTGGGTAATATTTCTATATTTTTCATGAAAAAATTTATTAGCCCAGGAGACTGTTCTCCAAACCAAGAATCGTCCTTTCCATGACATCTATATCGATTACTTACCTTAAAAGTAGCTTGGGACATACACCTTAACTGGGATTTAGATAAAGAAGTTGCTAGATGGCGCCACATCTTGGATTTTGAACAACTCATGACAACCTGCATCTAAAGAAAATAGAAAAGAATATATTCAAAGTTGGTAAGTTAGTCATTTGTTTTTGAGAGGGAGTTCATAAGGTGAGAGGTTAATTTTCTATACAAATTTATGTAAGGGTGACACAGCGTGAGAAAAGATGCAAAAGTGTATGAATTGCTACCCTTTCCCATAATTTGATTTTGCCAAGCAGAATTGCGTGAAAATGGTCGATCACAATCCAGCTACCCAATCAAAATTCACAAATTATTCACTGAATTTTATGCTTTCATAATGAAATTATCATTAAACATATATTTCGGATCGTTTAGACCTTATCCACATTAAAACTGTATATTAATCTATCTTATTTAGAGTATAATTAACTACTACTCAGGGTTTATCAATTGTTACAGATTCAAACCACATAGAATATTCTTAAACAGTGTCAGTAATACCTTGATGGATCAAGACAAACAAACGCCAGTTACAATAAATCTTTTCTAACGATGACATAAAATGTTTTATTCCATAGTAAGCATGATATTCATAGGATAACATGTGAAAAAAATAAAAATGGTATTTTTGTAATCAGTGGTAAAATATGATATTTTTGACAAATTTTCACTTAACCATAGCATACGGTTTTTTAGCCATGACATACGACGTCGTATGCGATGGTTTATGGATTTTTGCTACTTCAGACTCAAAACGAGGCTAAGTGTCAACATCGCCGGATCGTTTGGAAAATTCGAATTAAATGACTTGATTTCTGATGATGACTTTAACTATGGAATAAAAAGAACATCCTATGATTTACTCGTGATATAATTTTAATCCACTCATGGTTATTGATATCTGCACTCTCTCGCTACGCTCGCTCGTGCAGATATCATATCCATTCGTGGATAAAAATCATATCACTCATAAATCATAGGATATCCTCTATTTACATTATGTGCTGTTACAATAACATAGAAAGATATATCTTCAGTACATACCTCAATATATTTGCATTTACAAAATCTCCTGTAAATGAGATAATAAAATCATTTGAGTCTAGCCTGCTGAATAGAATCTATGATGATCCAAGATAGAATCTACATAACCTTGGTGTATAATTCTTGGTGTACCTATTACTAATTATTGTATATTATTTAATAATGGCTGAAATATAATTATAGCACAATCCTCCAAAAATATGATAACTTCAATAATAAATGCCAGAAATATCAACCAGTCAAGTAAGATCAATTCTTACACACCTTTTACAAAAAGTGTAAACCCTAATTTCTGAATTATCAAGTACACATGTATGCTGAACAAGCTACCATTCTTGCCATGATTTGCTTTCCCTCCTTCCTCACATTTGTTTGAAAAGATTTGGGTTCTTTATTTTGAGTGTTGATTTTATCCTTTTCCTTAAATTAAATTATTCTGTATTTTAACATGATCTTTCATTACTGGGAGGATATAAACGTAACTTACCTTTAAAGATCTTATTTCAATGTGAGTTCCAAATATGTTCATACACTGTATTTATGATTTTACGGACATCTTTTGCTTTTTTATTTGTATGAAAACTGATCGATGATGAAACAAGTTTCAATAACATAAAATGTACTTAATTTCCCATTGATTAGATATTTGGAATTATCTAAACTTAAAATCAACAACAATAATGTGATTCTACCTGCACATAAAATCACTCCAGTCATGCTCATTTCACTTAATTTCTCTCAAAAACATTGATAAACTACCAATTTATTCATCTTATAACTTGATTTAAACAACCTACTATATGCCCATCTACTTTATTCCTTGCTTATTTCGCTCATTTTCATTCTATTTTGGAATTTAAAAATGATCATCATGATATTTTGTTTTCTGGTGCATATCTGTCAAGTGCATCACATATAAGTAATAATAGACAAGTTTAGTTCCTTGTGGCCATGAGAAAAAAGAGGAGTGGTCATATTTAAAAATTCAAAATTGGGTAGAAAAAAGGGCTGTAATGAGTGCAGAATAATTAAAGTATACACTTTGTACTCTTATTATATAGAAATGCTTAAATCCAGGTGTTTCATACAGATTTATAGACAATTTGAGTGGAATAAGCAGAATAAAATGAAAATTTTATGAATGGGGAACAAATGAAGGTGTGCATTTATATTTACCAATAGGCATGAGTTCTATATATAATTCATGTAAATATAACGAGGTTAATTATCAAAAAGTCAAGTATGAATTATTTCTTAAGACGTCACAATTTTGTGTTAAAAATAAAGGATATCTTATCTGAAATTATTTAATCTTTCAAATTCATCATTGACTTAATGATTCACGATGTATGTTGCAATGGCCGTTATAACAAGATTTCCTTTCACTTAAAATTTTGTTTACATTCTGCAAATATGAAATTATAGTTTAAAATAAATGATTTAAATTCAAATGATTGGGCCATGAGAGATAATTAATATGCAAACATAACAAAACAGACTGTTTTCTTTTTCTTTGTGCCAAAATGTTCTTTTTAAACATTTGGCCTCTGGAAATATAACTCTTAATTCTTCTTTTTATTCAGCTTTTGTACCTCAATGTCCGAGCCATGCCGAAAGGAAAATATGTTATTCTATAGATGTACATGTAAATAATACCAATAGTATATTTTTAAGATATCACTGCTTTCACTCAATGTTTCTTTATACTTAATAAGTCTATGATTTTCTCATATTTTTATGACATTAGGAGGGGTTACTTCATTGCTCTCTATTATTTATGTGTCTATCCTTTTATTCCCAAATTTTAATGAAGTAAATAATTGAAATCTTTTCAAATTCTGTCTATAATAGCAGTCTGCATCTTTAACCTACTGATTATAAAGATTCTATTTTTAATCTATGAGGAAAAATATATTTCTATTTGAAGCCTGTGAAGAATATTTTTATACATTTTGTCATATATAATAAAGCCTTTAACATGGTAGATAGAGCTCATAACAATTACATGAAAAGCTTTCGAATTTACAAGTGACCATTTATACTTAATAAAACATATATGACTTCATTTATTTTAATGCATTTGCTCATCTTATCTTTAACCATTAACTCAAATTTGTTACAAGAAATTACAAATCTTAATTTGAAATATTATCATCAAAAATTCATAGTTCTGCTTATTATGTTCATTTACATATATCATAACAAACATAATTATTTTCCCCCAGGACCTTTCCAGGCCATAAAAAATGTGTTCTCCAAAGTGTGACAAATGTTCGATTTGTTTAAGATATACTTTCTCCAGGGTATAAAACACTTATTATTATTCCATGTATGTACTGAACTATGCTCGTGTCTTTGTATTGTGAAGGTACATAATGATGTCTTGGACTTAGGGCAATAAACACATCAACATGCTAATGATCTTATATTACAATTCTGAAACAATCTCAAAAATGTGAAATGCGGAGCATGGATGGATGTCATAGCATTTAGTATTTGAGTCTAACATTCTTAGATAAAAAACAAAAGGTAAAGTGAAACTGTTCAGACTAATGTTGGACAATATGCGTATAAAGGAGGCATACCTTGATACAATAATTATATTGAGCCACAAAATCGGGAATTCAACGACAAAATCAACACAGCACTTCAAGTGGAATATATGATATAAACTCTGTTAAGCATGATAAAAGGCAAGAAGTTTAGTTAGAAATAAAAGAGTTATCTCATGAATGGGACCCTTACATGGCTCCTAAAAGGTAGAAGACACTAAATGGTGTGACACTATAAGCTGAATTTTGTCCACATAGAGCATGTGCACAATACTAAAGACATGTAAAATTGAACTGTCAAAAGAACTGAAATATACTTACCAGCTCGCCTCTTCCGGAAGTTATGATACGTTATGGTGTAACTACAGTAATTAATTTTAAAATATTGAAAAAATCACAAAATACAAGTTCTGAGGTATATATCGCCATTTTTAAGCGAATTAGCCCATACTATGACTATATATTCGCACCCCCATATACAGATATATATAAACTTCATCTTCACAATAAATTGAGCTTCTTTCAAATTTCCATTTTTTGAGATAAGTGCCATTTTCTTACAATTCAAGCCGTAAAAATAGTTGGAAAGTGCTTCCCAGTTGAGGTTAATGGCTTTTATACTTACATTAATGTATGGAGCACTTAAAATGTACTTAGAATCGTATAAATAGCTCTATTCTGTGAGATTTATTTTTGTTTTTATTTTTACATTTTTCTCACCTCATAATTGAAGAGCTCCGCTGTTGATTTACATTCAGTTACACATATTTCCTTGAAAATTCGCCATGATTGGAACAAATGATGGTTGGTTTATGTTATATTCATTTAGTTTGTATTTGAATCTAGCTACTTAAACACAAAACATGTTTTCATGTTATGCTAAAGAGCAAAGATCGCGAATTCTAGGTGAAGCCAATTATTTTGCACAAGTCATATCCTGATTGCATCATAGTTACTTTGTACTAGTCACATCCTGATTGCATCAGCCAATTCACGTGATTTACAGTTTACACATGGTTTCAATATACATGTTATACTACTTCCGGGTAGGGTAGTGTTTTTTATACTTTAAAAACGAAGCCATTTCGATCAGTTTTTATAATCTTTGGTAGAACTGAGAGGTATTACAATACATATTTAAATTAATACACATGAGTGTATTTGATGAACTCTCAAAAAATAAAACCCACAATAATATATTTTTTATTCACAATTTCATGTCATAACAAGTCGCCTCTTTCTCTCTTTTCTTTATTTTTGTCAACAGTCAAAATCGGAATTTAAAACTTGGTTTCTTTACAAGCTCTGCTTCTGTAAATACTAAATAACATGAAAAATGTTAAACCTAACATCCTACACTTATTTGATATGAAATAGGCGATCATTGATATCATTTTTGTGCTGTTAAGTGTGGATCTTTTAATTTTTTAGTCAAACTTGATCGCTGATCTCTGTCGATGTGACGTCACGCATTAAGTATGCATGCATGGGCAGTACAATACATAAGGCAATATGGCGTCTTAGGCCTATACATGAGCCAGAATGGAGGTCTGCAAGTTGAAATGAATATGTTTGTTTATGCATCAATCGATCACACATATAATCCAGACAATCTTTCAAATCATATACTTAACATTGTAATGGATTTATTTATTTTGTGAGCTAACGTTCCCTTTAATTTTCATTGGTGAAGCAATGATTTTACCTAAAATGAGTCACTGTCTTTGCATAGTGATATTTAAAAATCGAGAAGCAAAACCTATGTTGAATATACTGTGTATTGATGAAGTTTATATATAGCCTAGGGGAACTCAAAAATATTGTTATTATATCGGCAAATTCGCTCGAAAATGGTTGTACACCCTAGAAATTGAATGTTGTTGATTTTTTCAATATTTTAAAATTAATTACCGTAGTTACACCATAACTTATCATAACTTCCGGTAGAGGCGAGCTGGTGAGTAATTTCTATTATTTTGACAGTTCAATTTTACATGTCTTTAGTATTGTGCACATGCTCTATGTGGACAAAATTCAGCTTATAGTGTCACACCATTTAGTGTCTTCTACCTTTTAGGAGCCATGTAAGGGTCCCATTCATGAGATAACTCTTTTATTTCTAACTAAACTTCTTGCCTTTTATCATGCTTAACAGAGTGTAGCATTTTTACAATTCTCTTTTCTTGTCATTCTAACTTTTTTCTGACGAAAATAATCTCAGGGTTACAAATTAAAATGATCTTTAGGCTAGAATTTTAATTTATTGTCAAAAAATTGAAAAATGAAAAAAAGTAAAAAATGACAATTTTTCGAAAAACCTAAATATAAAGTTATCTGTGTGATGAATTGCAAAGAATATCGAATCATATCAAAGCTAATAATAAAATAATATTTATGAACATAATTTAAGCAACATCTTGATGACAAAAACATGTATAAATCGTGATTTATATCTTACATTTTTTCCAAACATGGTGGCTGCCATTTTGAATAGTCTCGAACAAAATTGTAATAATGTTTTTTCAAAGATGGCACTACAATCATTTCAAAGTGATAAAATATTACTCGTTAATAGAACACATGTTTGTTCAATATTTGTAAAGCAGAATGTTAGACTTATCAACTTGATGAGTCTTTGAGTAATAAAACATTAGCACCCAAATTGATCAGTCCCTAAAACTTTTGATTCGAGACTATGTTACAAAAGTGCTGAATAAGAAAGTACAAAAGTAGGTGTTTTGTTTCACTTCTAAGGCTAATAGTTATGAAACTTATATTGCTACAAATTAAGGTTATATGTAATCAAATATTACAATACATTGATAGTCGTTGAAAAATGAGCTATTTAAGGGGAGGCATCAAAAGTTCGTTGTCGGATAGAAAACTAAATAAATCTAGTTAGGGGGGGGGGGGGGGGGGGTTCAAACCCATTTCAGTTTGCTATCCGACAAATTTCAACATTTCAAATTTTTGGCAATTTCAACTCAGAATGCCTTGGAATGGTTTAAAAATAAAGATTTTACCTGATGCTTTCTTCGTCAAGATCATTCCAATGGATTCTATTCTATCTATAGTTGTTAAAAGCCGCAAATTACGATAGGAATTAACAAAAACTAGATCATGTTTAGCAATAATTTTTCAAATTCTCAAACCGGAAGTAAGCGATCAACTTTCATGGTATTTAGTTTTTGGGGGGAGGGGGGGGGGGTCTGAGTCAAAACTAGATTTATTTAGTTTCCGATCCGACATCGAACTTTTGATGCCTCCCCTAAAGTGATTTCAACAAGTTTCATGACTGCCTCAACCCCTGGCCCCGTGCCCATCCAATGGGATCAGAGGCAAGGGGAGGGCATTACAGACCAGTTGCAACATACTCCCATATATTGGCTATATGGTGACGTGCCGCTAAAGTAGGTCACCTTTTTGCTGAAAAATCCCTAGACTCGTGGGTCCCATTTTGAAGAAAAACCCTATAGATATGGGTCCCATTTTGATGAAAAAATCCCTAGAACTGGGTCTACTTTTTGAAAAATCCTAAAACTGGGTACTGTTTTTGAAAAAAATTGCCGGAAGTGGTTCTTGTTTTTAAAAATTACCTTGAAGTGGGTCTATTTTTGAAAGAAACAACCTAGATGTGGGTCAATTTTTAGAGAAAAAATCCCTAGATGTGGGTAGAGATATTTTGAGTCTCAGCGGCACCCCCTGTACAGAAATTCGACCAGTACACCCCGGGGATAGACTCAACTTCAATATCCGAGTCTTAAATGATTGAACTCAAATATGTCGAACTACATTAAATGTTAGATACCATTTTATTTTTCAGACCATCTGTTTGTTTGATGCAAATATCTCTTCCTTGCCAATCTTGAGACTCAAGTAAATCTTCCTACAATTTGTTTATCTTGAAAGATAATGCTACCAGTGATTTATCATGAACAAATCACTTTAATATTCAGCAACTTAACTATAACCAAAACCTGCATTTATTACAGAGATATTCCAATTGCTAAATTTCTAATTAAATCTCAAGTGACACTCAAAGAATCCAATATGAAAAAATTTTCAAACCATAAGAGAATTATCACAATGGAATCCCTAATGATAACAATGCCTTTTCAGAGGATATCCCCCCTTTATTATGCGTTGATTAGACCTGTCAAAAAGTTTATATAATGCCTATGATGCAGAGGAACTTTCTTGTACAATATGATATAATTGTAAAATGCCTATTGTCATTTTTAATGAGCTCCCTGAAATTTGTTATGAATTGAATACAATGTACTGCGATGTGGTTGGGATTTGGAGAACTGGTATTTGAATAATGTACAGCTATACAGGAGAGATTTTGTCTTATTGCAGTTCTTCATGCCAGGTTTGAATTAGGAGGGAAATCTAATTGTTCAGAAGGAGTTTGTCAGAGAAAGCTCTAATTTTCAACTGAACCAAAAATGCCATTGATTTTTGAAATACTAATTTTTTTGCTTTTTTATCCCTCAAAATCTCAAAAGTTTATTTTTTAAGAAAAGGTACAGACTTTTCCCTGTTAAATCTTGGAGAGTATGGAACTATGCTTTTGATATACTGTATTTGAGACAATTTTTTAAATATGGGACAGTGACCATATTCATGTTTTTTATATGCAGTGCTCATATCATACATGTCCATTTATAACATCATCATATCTAATCACTGAGATAACTATCTTTTCACATGGGCAGTGAACAGTAACATTTCATGGGGTTGTTCACCTATTGTTGTTGCATAATTTGGAAATTGGTGACATTTTTGAAAAAAATTTACGATGAAACCTTCCCACATTATTTTCTGGTCTAAAGATCTGAAGATATCTGAGTGTATTTTCTTAAATTTCTAGAGAGCATCTATATATCTAGCATGAGTCAGAGTCTAATATGTCAGGTCATGACATCCAAAAAGTCAATAAAAGATACATATATAAGACAAATTAGTTAATTTTAGGTAATCGAGAAAATTGGAGAAAAAAATTAGGAAATTTTAAGGGGCCATTTCAATAAATCTTTTTATTATCAGACAATACAAGGATACTTTTCTGGAAAAAGTATTTTGTATGCGAAAATAAAATGGTCAATTTTTTCAAAAAAGTTAAGTTCAACCTACTTGACCTTCTTCATCGAACTGAGGATAAATGATTTTTTTGAAAAATGATTATTTGTTTTTTTTTGAGAAAGCGATTGGCCACACAGGGGTTATGCTAATATAAAAGTGATATTTAATTTTGATTGTTATTTTTTGATTGGCAGGGACTCAGATTTAAAATGAGTTTATTGAAAACTGTAACTTATTGTGCTACACACTGTAACAATTGATTGAGTACTGAGCACTGTGAAAAACCTTACATAAACCATTTGTGTAAGATTCACTGGAGTGTGGTATGCCCTTAAATAAAAGTTCCTAGTTGTGTTAATTAAACACCGAATTAAACAGATCACTGGGAAAACAGTCGAAATTTAATAAGTCATAAAATGCACTCTTTTAATTGTACAAAATGTAAGAAAAGTAAGCCATAAAATTTTGAAGAAAAGTAGCAAATGCATGAAATTTTGCATGACGAGGGTGTTTTATTGAGGGTCAGATAAGCAGTTAAAGGACATGTGCTGTGAAGTAGAACAATACAATAACAATAGCTCTTCCTGGTCCCATGTTGCCTCTTATTATATAATCCCTACTCAGCCTCACATTGATAAAATAAATTGAACAGTTGAACTAGTTAATCATTATTAGAAGGTTTAAATTATAACTTTGCAGAGGACTTTTCGAATTATCATTATTTTTTACAAAAACAAGAAATATTATGAAACTTTAGATAAAAATCATAATTGAACAAGTTGAATATGTAATCATCACTTATGTTTGAGATATTTTTGATAAAGTGCAATCAATGTGAGTCTTGACAATTCAGGGTGATAATATGATATCATGACTTTCCAAATTATATTCTAAACTTAGTTTGACATTTTTGGTAGCTCATCTAAAACAGGTAGGTCATCAAAAAGATAGATCAACTTGCAATACCTTATTTGAACGCTTTCTTGGTCGATTGATGGATTGATACATTTGGCATTTACAACAAAACATTGAACTACAAGATTATATTATCATTGCTTCACTCTTATTTGATTATATTGTTTGGTTGCTTGTTTGTTAATAGGTTGCTTGATTGTTTTGACTTGCAGTTGTTACATTAGTTCAATTATGAATACCTAACCATACAATGTCATGTTTGTAGATTATGGTGGTACAACAGAAGTGATACATGTTGTTTGATTGATTGATTGGTTGATTGGTTGGTTGATTGATTAATTGATTAAAATCAATTAGAGGTATCACTTATAGAGACAAAATATGGCCAAATGCTTCAGGACTGACCTTACCCATTCAAATTACAAAAATAGCATGTAAAATATTCACAATTTTCAAAGAGAACAATAATGGGTACAAGGACAAGTTCGGATAAAATATGATCAATGTTAGGTTTGTTTATAGCACCAACAGGTGTCAACATTGTTGCTTTGATTAAAATATCATAGCAGCGAGAACTCCAGTGTGAAATTACCTGAAATATAACGAATGTGCTAGAAACCGAAAATACAAGCCTGTTCTAAGTCTTCTAAATTGTACACACACTGGGAATCAAACTTTTATTTTGATTTTATAGTGAATGGTTGTAATATATGAGCAAAACGAGAAAGAAATTTTAATCGAGGGTTATCATAATTATTCTGCAATTATATACTTATGTAATATATTAATAGCTCTCATGCCATTGATTTTGCAATATTATTTTGGCATAACCACAAAACATGATAATCCTAATACATGTTCATTACAAACAATCACAATTTTTTAAGCACTCAATTGAACCAAGTTAATTAGTACATTTCAGCGAAATTTACTGAGATTTCTCTGTTTATTCATATGAAGTAGGATTTCTTGAGAATTGTTTGGACTTTATGGATTTATACTTTCAGATGGGGGAATAGACTCGACAACCTGGCCAATATTTGTCACTGTAAGGAAGGAATAGATGCAGTTATCATAAATGAGGGTAAGTTTCTTAAAGTATATTACATTTTCTAAATTATTTCCATTGGAAACAGTTCGAAGTCACTGTCAAAATTATATAAAAAGCTCAAAACAGTGTGGAAGAATTTAGAAAAAGTGTTCACATTGAGAGGTGTTCAGATATACAGGTTTTACTGATTAACACACAACTTGGTAGGTTGTTTTTGCAGATATTCTTTAAAACGAGAATTCCAAGGGTAGATGTTGCACCAAACTAGTGAACATTGCAAAATATAGAAAAATGGTCTAATCGATCACATAAAAAAATGTAGAAATGGAAAATCGTTTGGAGATTAGACAGGAAGTTTAATATGGTTCAAAGTTTAAATATCATTTTAGAACTTTTAGAATAAAAAATCTTTTATTAGTAAAATCGTTTTTGGATAAACATTGTTTCATGTTTATGACCAAAAACAATTTTTTACATGTTAAAACACACAATAAGTCCACCCTGTGCTA